CCAGCATCCATGCAGAAGTTGAGCATTTGGGGTTTCATTGCTCCCTTCGATAGCTCAGTTGGTAGAGCGGAGGACTGTAGGATGATGATAGCAGGTATCCTTAGGTCGCTGGTTCAACTCCGGCTCGAAGGACAGGCTTTTCATTGGTGTCCAATGTGTGGCTATTCAGAATAAAAAGATGAGACTCGTCATAGCTTTCAGAGCTGTGGGTTGTATTGCTTGACTTCATCTGAAAAAAGGACACTTGTCAAAAGCACTGTCTTGGTTATTGCAATTAGTTGTTCACATTTTATTCAGGTATTTTGTAGATTTGTTATGAATGTTATTATGTGGTGTCTTTGCAAAATTAACTTGGTTTTGCATCATTTCCAGCATCCATGCAGAAGTTGAGCATTTGGGGTTTCATTGCTCCCTTCGATAGCTCAGTTGGTAGAGCGGAGGACTGTAGGATGATGATAGCAGGTATCCTTAGGTCGCTGGTTCAACTCCGGCTCGAAGGACAGGCTTTTCATTGGTGTCCAATGTGTGGCTATTCAGAATAAAAAGATGAGACTCGTCATAGCTTTCAGAGCTGTGGGTTGTATTGCTTGACTTCATCTGAAAAAAGGACACTTGTCAAAAGCACTGTCTTGGTTATTGCAATTAGTTGTTCACATTTTATTCAGGTATTTTGTAGATTTGTTATGAATGTTATTATGTGGTGTCTTTGCAAAATTAACTTGGTTTTGCATCATTTCCAGCATCCATGCAGAAGTTGAGCATTTGGGGTTTCATTGCTCCCTTCGATAGCTCAGTTGGTAGAGCGGAGGACTGTAGGTTGATGATAGCAGGTATCCTTAGGTCGCTGGTTCAACTCCGGCTCGAAGGATGGGCTTTTCATGGTGTCCAATATGTGACCATTCAGCATGAAAATATGCGAGTGGGCCCCCTTTTCTGAGCCATGGGTTGCATAGATTTCCTCTGCCAAAAGGACGGTTGATGAACGCATTGTCTTTGTTATCGAGCATGTGTGGATTATGAGACAATGCGTGCCTGGGCACAAACATGCAAAACGCCCCACGAGCTCTCCCACAAATAAGCAAGACACACAAACTTTGTGTTGGCATTGTCTCTTTTTTGTTGTTTTGTATCATTCTTTGTAGTTGTTATGCATCTTTTTGTTGATTTGTGTCTCTTTTTTTTGTACTGTGTTTTTGAGGTTATTTTGTGTCTTTTTTGGTTATTTTATGCCTCTTAGTAGTCCATTTGTGTTTATGTGGTTGTTTTTGTCATTTTTGTAGTTATTTTGTGACTCTTTAAAGTTCCTCTGCATCTCTTTGTCGTCTTTTTGTGACTCTTTGGGGTCATTCTGAGTTTCTACCTGGTCGGTATGTTTTAATTTGCATACCATTTTGCAGGTGAAGGTCAGGGGAGCCCTTACACTTTGGGCTCCTGGGCCTGTGCCCGGTAGGCCCGTTCAGTAATCCACTCATGGTTAGATGATATATAAAAAGCCAGGTGCTCCTTTCAAATTATATAAAACTTTAGTTTGTTGTCTAATTATTCACTCTGGAGGACATCAAAGGGCATAATAAATTCTTCACATTCCAAGTTTTAGTTCTGTATGAAGACGACAACTTTTTGGCTGCAGCACCAAAGCAGAAGAGAAAGTGTATATTTCAGTCATCAAGGCAAGGTTCAAGGTAGTGTAAAGGCTTGCTCCAGAAACTGAATGAGGTTGGATGTTTTAGTGTCTCATAGCAACTTGTGCCACTGACTCTCACTGTAGCAGCACAATTATTACTAGATCTGATTCATCTATAATTAAGGGCCAAATGTAAAAAATGTCAGACAAAGAAAAAAACTAATATGGAACCACCACCAGGTGTCATGCTCATGCCAGCCAGAAGACTAGCTGACTAAGTTTCACAGGTACAGACACACGTTTCATGAACAAAAACATCCTTTGAAAAAAATCTGTGTTTTTATATCAAATTATGTACAGTACAACTAACTGTGCAACTTCTGTCAAATAATCATATTTATGGTTAACTGAAATATACAATTCAAATGTCAACATCTTATAAAACCACTGATGCTGAAGCGACTCTGACATGATTATACTGACTAGATTTATCCACAGGAGTCCAAAAGAATCAATGAGCCCCACCCTCCTCTAAACATTTTGCATCTGTTTAATGTACTTTCACATGTTTATGCAAAAACACCAATAGTAGTGAACTGGTTGCTGTGTCAACACTTCCTTTGAGTTGCTGTTTGCTGTCAAAATAAAAATGTGACCCCATGTGAGACAACAGACTACGTGAAGATAACAATTTGTTTTTTTAGTAGGCTAATAATCTGCACATTTTGTGGCTTTTCTGAGCAACTATTTTTGCATTCACCTCGCGATTGCATAGGTCAATGCTTTTATAATGTCAGAAGTAAAACACAAACAAATGTTGATTAAATGATGTGTAGGGAGTCAATTTTGCACTACAAATGTGTCTCTTTTCTTTTATTGTACAAACCACAGCTGCCGACTGAGAGGGCAGAAGGAAAAAGAACAACTATTTTCTTTTGGTTTAGGCTAACAGTTACAAGACACTGATTGGGCATGTTGTTAACTTGTCTGTATATTGTTTGCATGTCTTCTATGGACTTGATATACCACAAAATAAATACTTTCTTCATGTGTACTATCAAGAACAAGCTCGATCTCTCCTCAGAGCTATATAAACATGGCACACTGACCAAACATGCAAGAAAATGTTTTACTATCAAAGCCTATTGTAAATGTAATTCATTCAAAAATTTAGATATGACTTGACAAGGAAGAACTATCAGCTGAAAATGGAAACTATTGTGTCCCTACCTCAAACTTCAAGCCCAAATTATCAACAAATATCACATTAATAATATCCCTTTTAACTCTGACCTGACATAATCTTGGTACTTGTTCACAGAATAGGATGTTGCTTCACACTCCCTTATCAGAACTGAACTAGAAAGAATGTCTTTCTCTTACAGTGCACCTTATACATGGAATAATCTGCAAAAGACCTTAAACTTGGACACTCTGCCACCTTTATGGATGTTTAAGTGCCTTATTCCAGATCTTCCTGTATCATCCTGTATTTCTACTTTTAGCGATCATATATAGCTATTGTTGTTTGTTGTTTTGTATGATTTCATATCTGTTTTAATTGATGTGCACGGTGGTTCTTTGTTTGCTTATTGATTGTTTTCAATGTCTTTGATCATGCTCAGCATCACTGAAAATGAAGGTTTCCCTCAATTGATTTCCGGAGTCTTAAACAAAGTTTGAATGAATGAATAATTATTAATAACATAGATCAATCACAAAGACCAATCAAAAGAACATCAAAATTATAATATTATGTTATTCCGTCTCATTATATTGACGTAAAATATCACAGTTTGTAATTTCTACCTGTAGGCTTCCAGTTATGAAAGGTGTAAGCTACTTGTGTAGACAACAGGTACATCACTAACCCATACTGAGTTTTTTTTAAATCATTTTTATTGAAATAAAGTAAATTGTACTAAGTCAGACATTGTAGATTCCACATATTGTTGCAAAAAAGTCCACACTTCATGACTTATTTTACAGCTAATTCACAGCTGCATTCACACTTAACTTGTAAATCATTAGATTTTCACCATCCTAAATTCTTGACATCTTGGAGGTCAATTTTCAATAGAGATTTAGGGGAACTAAACTATGGAATGCTTCCTTTCACCTGCTAAAAACTTGTATGTCTATAAAGTGTTACAAAAGATGTTTATGTTTAACATTTAACTGCTGTTTTGTAAAGGAATTTTCTCCTTTTGTATTATTGTTCATGATTTAGCTTGTTTTACTCACTGTGATACATTTTTATTATTGCTCAAGGGTCAATACAGTAAACTACTATCCCCCTCATGCACACACACATATACACGCATGCCTAATTACACGAACATTGACTGACATGTACATCAAAAACTCACATTTTCTGCTCTTAAATGGAAACTATTATTGCTTTATTGTTGTTGTTGTTGTTGTTGTTGTTGCAGTCAAACATATTTTGTTATTAGTAGTTTGTTTTTACTTGTATTATTTTCTGTATTGTTCTTTATCTCTATGTACTTCTGAGTGTTAATAACATTGTAAAAATGTTATTAGGTGGAGGCTTCAAATAAGCCCACTGGGTTTTTTGCCTCTCCCTGTCACTTTTCATTTTTCTTTTTCCTTGCCTTTTTGTGTTTTAATTGTGCAAAAAACTAAACTAAATGAGACTAAAAAGAGACTAAAATGGAACATTAAGGATATAAAAAATAATAAAAAAAACGAGAGACAGCATTTTAATTGATAATAGTGATGTGTGGTAGATACACTTTTCTTAATATTTATAGGCTATGTTTTCAGAGACTATTTAAATAAAAATATCTATCAAAAACACTTTAAAACAGGGGGTGATTTAGCAAGTTTAGATTTGTGTGTATATGAAAATTAGTAAGTAGAATCATGAGGTTTTTGATAAAGTAAAAAGGATTAACACTGACCCACACTGAGTTTGTTTTTGTGTTAGCATGTTAGCATGCTAGCATCACCTTACGAAGCCACACCGTGACCTGTGATTGGCTGGCCGCGCTCTCGCTCCTCCAATCACGAAGCCGCTGTAGCTCCGCCTGCCACATCACTAGCATGGAGGAACATGGAGCAGGAATTCCGGCTATGCGCCGATGACAGCGTCGTCGATGGGGCAACACGGATGATGACCAACAGATCTGTTGCCCGGTGATCAACTAAGCAGCTGGGAGCAACTTGGCAGGAGTGTGTCCACACACAAACATACACACACAGCTGTGTGGGCCAGCGGCGTGTGTCACACTTTACAGGCGGCGGATGAAGCCCTGATGCTCAGAGTTGGACTGGTGCCGTGTCTCCCCCTGTAACTCCTCAGCGGGATTAACCAGACTAGCCTGCTCGTGCTGGAGAGTTTTCAGATAAGACTATGGATTTGTTCGGGGTGCTGCACTTGGACGAGCTGTCCCATGGACTGGCAAACTTGAACATGTTTCCGTACTTTGACATGGCGCACTATATCGTGTCCATCATGTCTCTGAGGGAGCAGCCAGGTAAGTGGCTGACGAGGCATGACGTGTACAGTTTCACCAAAGTTTTACTGTGAAAAATAAGCACCCGATTCGCTTTGTTCTGCAAAAGTTTGACCTGGTGTGACTTCGATAATCCCACTACAGCTATCCTGGTGTCTCAGGCTCTCCAGCTGACTGCCACGCAGCCCCAGGGGATGTTGGGCTGTAATTTACACTTGAACTCAGAGGGTGGTGACGAAAAGACAATGGAAACATCTGATCTGACCTGCTAACTTTAAATTTGTGCATTTAACTCCCCATTTCCCCTTATTCTTTGTTCTTTATTTGGCTTCAAGTTACTTATTCAGTCATATGCACAAATGAGAAATGAGAAGCTGAGATAAATAGTGAATACGTTATAATAAAGGGATACAGTATAATGCATAAAATTTACAATGATAAAACATAAAAAACTATTATAGGGTGTCTACAGGTCCTTAAAAAGTCTTTAAATGTCTTAAATTAAGTTTTCCTTATATAAGGCCTCAAAAAGTCTTAAATTGTCTTAAATTTAGATTTGATGGGTCTTAAATAGTTTCGGTCACATTATCGTAAAATGTCTCCAGCCTGACAGACCCAGTGACTGTTCACAATCATTGGACAGACCGAAGAATTGCAATAATAAATAGCATTTATGACAGCGGTGAGATTTTGTCCTCTTTTTTACGTTAAACACATTACATTTAAACTCACCCAATTGTTGTCATTATTCCTTACTGTTCATTTTGAACTGATAAAAGATTTGGTCTTAAATTTCATATAAGGTGGTACTAAAAAGGTCTTTAAAAGTCTTACATTTAACTTGGTTATATCTGTAGACACCCTGTATTAGCCTCACTGTAGGGCTGGGCAGTATATATCCATATTATATCAATATTGTGATATCAGACTAGATATCATCTTAGATTTTGATATTGTAATATTTTGAGTGTTGTTTTTTTCCTGGTTTTAAAGGCGTTATTACAGTAAAGTGATGTAATTTTTTTAACTGTTATTTGCCCTTACCCACTTAGTCATTATATCCATGTTATTGATGATTATTTATCAAAAATCTTATTATGTAAATATTTTACGAAAGCACCAACAGTCAACCCTACAATATCATCGCAATATCAATATCGAGGTATTTGGTGTATGGTATTGTAATGCTTGATTTTTTCCATATCGCCCTGCCCTACCTCGCTGTTATTTACCTCTGTGAATTCATTATTACTTAATCGACGCTTCTTAAAAACTGTTTTTTAACAAAAAACAAATATTTATAATCTTATTGAACAACATTTATGGTGTAGCTTATTTAAAACAAAAATAATCAGTAGGTGATAATGGGACATAGAAACATTCTGCCATTATGAATTAGTACAGGAATCATATTGGTAACAATTTATTTGGATAGTCCACCCACAGTTTATAGAGAAGGCCTATTTGTGACATTTCATCAGCTCATTTAAATCAAGTCAAGTTTATCTATATAGCACATTTAAACAACTGCAGTCCACCAAAGTGCTGTACAAATTAAAAGAATGATAAACAGATATATAGCAATATAACATGTACACAAATATAAAACAGAATAACACCAGTAAGAACAGTTGCATCAGTAAAAAGATTATAAAATACTAAAATATTGAAACTACTACAAACACCCAAAGGCCACTGAAAACATGTTAAAAGTGTCAATAAAGGGGGAGCATTTGACTCAGAGTTTAAGGCTACTCCAAAGTTTTGGAGCAGCAGCCACAAAGGCAGGGTTTTCTTTGTTGTTTGAGACTCAACAATTCAACTGTTTCGCTTTGTCTGTAGATGTTTGTCTATGGAGTGTGACAATTCACTACATATTCTAAGACTTATTCAGTTGAACTTGAACTATCTTGAGCTAAATTTACAGAGAATATGTTCCTGATTTGTCACATAAGCTCTGTAGATAATCTGTTGAACGTCTACAAACAAAGCACAACAGTTTAATTGAATAAGCTGTTGAAACGTTACAAATACTCTATTAATCATTTGCATCTGGACTGTCCAAACAAAGAGTCACCATTAAATGAATCTAACTTTAAAGCACACACTGTTACTTTGAGCTATAGTTGATTGTATCAGCTCAGACCAAAGGCTGGCACGGAGCCAGCTCTGTTATGTCACTGAGATAGTGTCCACAGGGACAGGTGGACTTTAACTACACAGCCAGTCGACTCTCCACACACACAAACATACCAGAACACACACGCAGTCCATTGTAGTCCCGCCGCTTTAAATCTACAGGCTATTTTGGAACTTGCCTCGCGAAGCATCTGAGCTTCTGCGACCTTTTAACCCTTTGTCCTCTGCTCCCATCTATCTCTCTGCGGCTTAGAGAGAGATACACAGAGTGTTAATATACGGACAAACAAAAGGCCGGAGATCAGCGAGTGCAACATGAAATCCTCACTAGTGAGAGCACAGCAAAGAAAGAAATTCAGTAAAACCAGAATAAAAGTGAAGACACAAACAAACCAGGAGCCAGCTCCATGTCTCCTGTTCCCCAAAAAGGAAAGGAATGCCATGAACCACTAAAGTCTTCCTGTCTTTTCTCCTTCCTGTTTTAAATCTTCCGCTCCTGCTCTTCAGTGCATCCAGTCCCACAGTGCATTTTTAAAAAGCTCACCAGTTCCCTTTATATGTTTACAACACTGTCACTACAGTTTACCGTGGAGTTATTTTAAGCAGATTCCTAAACATTGCTGTGAGTGGATTGCACAGGACGCAGGAGGACAGGGACGTGGAAGATGAGCAGTGGTTGAATGTCAATCAATGGATCTCACTTCAAGCCCAAAAATAACCATAGATAAGGCACTTTTTTCTTATCTAGTTATCAAGTTTCAGGAGAGAGGAGGGATGTCTTACTCACAGGCGTAGATAATAAGTGAGTATGGTAGGAGATCTGCTGTCCTGGTTAAGATTTTAATCACTGTTTTTGATCAGGCAAGTGAACTGTTTCCCAGCTGCGAGACTTGTCTCCATATGCCCTTCCTTTGTGTTCTTTTGTAAAGAGACTCATGTACAACAAACATACTTATCCAAGATACATTTGCTCTGATTGAAAATGCCTTCATGGGCAAAACTGATCTAAGATTATAACAATTAAGTAAGCTGGCTCTGAGGAGAGTTGGAGTTGTGGAGAAGAGAGGGCCTGCTGTCTACCTTCACATTACAGAGAGACAAAGAGAAAAGAACAGAGAGAAGGAAAGAGGAAGTGGAAAATACAACCCGTATGACATGTTGCAGCTGTAATGTACTTGGCCTGTATTCCTCAAATTTGACTTGTAAATGTGTCTCCTTCAAATGCAAACCAGGAAGGAGGATCTTGATTCGGTACAAGGTGTGTTTGTAGCCCAGCATGTCAGAGAAGTCCCATATTTCAGTGCAAGACTGAAGCAAAGCATTATTTTTTTACCATCTGCAAACTATCTGAAAAGCACCTGTTGTAAAATCACCACTTCTTCAATGAAATGGCGTTCCTGTTTAAGAAACACTGTTTACTATGTAAGCAATGCGCCTCACATGTTAACTGAGATTAAGTTACAACTGTGGTAAGACCAAAAGCACTAATATTGAGCATTAGTGTTGGAGGAAAGGATATGTCTGACACTCAGGGTGCTAGACTGTTTGCATATTTTACAACCCCTCTTTCCTGTCTCACATTTGTGTGCTTTTCTTTTTCAAACTTCCTCCTCTTCTAACTGGAAGTTTGTGTCAAACCACAAAAGTTCATCATATCAGGCGTCATCTACACACAAGAGATAGGGACTGTCTAGCTGTGTCGCTGTTGTCACTTGCAAAACTTAACACAAACAAAAAACCAGTTAAAGTCTGTGTAAAGCAACAAAAAATGTCTGTTATAAGTTTGTCACATCACAGAAATATGTGTCATTAATCACTAAGCCAAATTTGAAAGATTAAAAAATCGCTAAGTATATAAAATTAGCTCTCAAAATCATGGAAAAACAAGCACTTCTCTCTGCTGTGAAACGCTGGAGGCCTCCACTCACAGGAGGGAAGCCGCCTCTGTGTACTGTACAAGGAAGTAAACCCAGCACCTGCAGCCGGCCGAACAGGAGGATGTAATCCAGGGAGGGAGAGTGTCGGTTCGGCTCCACTGACTGAAAATATTTTTTCCAGCGGATGTCTTAGTTACAACATGATTGAGCTAACTGGAGTAGTTTCATGTCGTATCCGACAACGGGAGGCTTTTAACAGATGACATCCTGATGTTAGCTTTGCTGCTGCTGTTAGCTGACCCTGTCAGCTGCAGCCACTGATGCTTTCTAGACATCGTGATTTCCCAAAACTGAATAAAATACCACACAAAGCAACACAAAACTGCTTTGCTAGCTTAATCATGTTGTAACTAAGATATCCGCTGGAAAAAATATTTTTTTCACAGACCGTTTATTGAGTTACTGAGTTATTACAGACACCGCTAACGGCTAACAGCTAACGGTTAACCCAGCTAATCTACGATAACCATGATATTAATTACAAAACGTGCACACAGAAATAGTAATGTTTGTTCAATCATTGTGTTTATAGACTTTACAAACATCAGTTAGTCTAAACGGTGATATAGTGACGTGAAAAATGTGAGAGATATATATCGCTAAACTCTGCTGGTTTTCTACCTGGAAGTATTTGTACACAACAAGGCGATGCCCTCTGTTTATACTGCTACAGCCTCAGGGGGCGTGTTTGTACCAGGGATAGCTCCGTTAGGTAACGCGGCTATGATTTAAGGCCCGCCCAGTAAATCCAGAACACAGAAACCTAGAAACACAGTTTGTGAAGCCTAGCTCCACAATTCAATTGTAAATGGTTGAAAGGCTTTTTTACACATTTTGAGGAATACTTTTATGACCTATTTAATGTGTTTAGAAAATAGCAGAATTTGCTTTACACGGACTTTAAGATCTGTTAACAATACTTCACTCTGCTTTTCATGCTGCTGTTGTGTGCACTTCCCGCTCTGAGCTGATGAACCGTTGCATTTTATATGACTCATCTAGTTACCACTTATATACAGCAGTGTTTCAGATTATGAGTGCGAGGTGAGAGAGTTAAAGAGAGGTGAGAAGTGAGAGAATCAAGGTCAAGACAGAGTGATGTGAAAGGGACAGGTGCATACCAGTTTACTAAAAACACAACAAGACGTTAGTTACTTTAGTTTGGCCCACACACCAACACCATCAGTGGTTGGAGGAGCAGCAATGTCTGTTTGTGGAGGCTATGAAGGTACTTTAAATCTCTTGGTGCCCAATTGCCACTATTTGCATGTCAATTTGTTCTCCCTCTCGGAGTCATGACTCAGTCAAATCTAAACACAGACATGGGATGCACATATTTGTACGCTGTTGTGTGACTTAGACTTTCCGAGGATATCATTATCTCTGAATAATTTAATAGAATGAACAAATAAATGTCCAGAACTCTGCATAGAAGTCATGGAAAAAAAGTGCTTCTTATCATGTCAGAACTTGCCTGAGAATAATCCCATCAAAGTGGTTCAGTGATAGTCGTGTGTAGGTCCATGGGTACACTGCAAATGGCAACTGCTAATATCAAATTAGGCATACTTTTAGTGGTGCTATTTGACAAAATATGATCAAATGTAGGCAAAAAATGGGACTTAAGTTTTCACCCACAGCTAACCAACTCACTTGGTGAGATGGCAACATTATACTTCCTGTTTACATCACCCAAAGCCCTCAGATTAAAGGAACTGTAGCAATAGAACTTAGAGCCTGGTTATCCTCATAATAATATGAGTTTCAAATTCCATTAATGTCCACTTTTTCCTTTTAGATGAACATTTTTTTGACAGCACTAAGGCTCACAATGTCCCATCAACATGGTTCTTATATTCCTGAAACACTGACACTCCTCTCCATCCATTCATATATGTGTTTTACTATATATAACTCTGACAGGTCAATACAACTCTAACAACTGTTGTCGGAATTCATGCCTTTTTTTATTATAGTGATCTAGTAATGAAGATATGGAGACCATGTAGACATCAAAGAATAGGTGTGAAGGTATTGACAATTCCATGTTTCAGATGTCTATGAGTTGGTAGCAGTTCCACGAAAGAGAAGTTTTACTTACATAACTGTCTGAAGCCCAAAGAGGTAACCACGGGACAAAGTTACCTGACTGAATATGAAGTAGTTTAAACCAGCTCCACCTCCAGCAGCACCAACAGGAAAATGCTGCTTACACATTGTTGCATTACTATTAACAATCTAAGGCCCTGATCACACAGAAAGCATTTTACAGGTTGCAAAATGTGAGGCGCACCACAACTAACCTTCACATGTAATCAATCTACGTTTTTTTAATTTTATTTATTTCACAGTAATTAGTAGCTAGTTACTAAAATGTTCAGGCAGAGGGTACATGCTCTGGCTGTCAGCAAATAGTTTGTCGGGCACAGGGAAACGGAGATCTGTGTGGGCATGTGAGACCCTAAAAAAGAGGGTGGATCATGAGGAGTACCACTAGTTGGTCCAGGAGCTTCCCCTCCATGATGGCCATTTCCAGGCATATTTTAGGATGACTTGGGGCAGTTTGACGACCTGCTGTCTATCGTCAGGCCGTATAGCTCTGGGTATCCAGCAACCGCTACCACCAGTTTCTCCTCCATTGTTGACCAACTGTAAACATGTTGTCGTGACCACCACAGAAGGCCCGCCTTTCAAATCAACCGATTGGACAATTAAAAAAAGCAGAGATGACGTGGGGATGAAGTTTTTTCAACTCGAGGAATTCAGAGCGCTCTGGTAAAAACGCCAGGCACCTAGAGTGCTGAAACGCAAGGCGCGCAGCAACGCAAAACAATGAGAAAAAAGCTTAATTCTCATTCTCAAACACAAAAAGCTGCCTCCAGCTGCTAAAGCACTTCCTGTGTGATCGGGGCCTAATAATGTCATGTACTGTGTAATTATGTGTTAGTCACAGGGGACTTTTTCTGCAGAGTACTTTTACTTTTGACACCTTAAGTAAAATTTGCTGAGAATATGTATTATTATATTGTTATATTGGTACTGCTAGTAAAGGAACATTTCTTCCACCGCTGTATAGCAGGTTATAGGCCATCCTGTAGCTCAACATTAACTTTTAAAAGTGGCTGCCAGGCTGGCCATAACGCATCCGCTTTTGATTGTCAGAACTGAAAATATGGTTGCCATTTTAGTCACCTTGTATTTTGAGTAATTAAGATACTATCCAGTTATATGTCAGCTTCTGTGACATAATGTTTAAAAGGTGTATTACAGTAATTTGTGTTTTATCCGATGCTTTATATTTTAGTTTGAATCTTAAAGGGAGACACTACCTTAATAAAGAACTCCAATATGTTATTTCCATGGCCTGGAAAAGTTCAATCAACATATGTGAATATGAGGTTCTCTAACTCAAAGCCAGGAACCAGAGAAGTCTCAAACTTGTGACATCATAGGGTATAAATATAAAGTGATTTTGTGGACCCATAGAATATTTGTTTCCTTTTTTATACCCAAATGAGCTTTATTCTGTGTTAGTGTTCTCAGTTCTGAAACACAAAATGTACCCATATACTCAGAACATTCCCATCTAGAACATCTTTCCCGAGTCACTGTCAAGGAGGAGCAGCTCCAGGCTTTATACTAAATGGCATAACACATTTGAGTTTTATCTCTTTAGTTTTTGAATTTGGGAGAGATCATGTTCTCTGGACTGTCTTAGACCACAGGAATAATATGTATGAATTTCAAACTTGGTGTAGTTTCCCTTTAAGACGTTATCAGTTATGGTGTCCACCCTTAAGTGTTATCATGCTCTCCACACACCCCTCAAAAATGAATCCAGCAAGTCGCTGCAAGACATGAGAAAGTCTTCACAAGTTTCCTTTTTGTTCTGCATTCAAGTTCATCTGGTTCTTGTCCTTGTTCTTGTGCACATGCGAGTAAACGCACCAACACATGTGTCAACCCGTAGTCTCGTGGAGTGTCTGGTTCTGGATAGGAGTGTAACAGCAATATTTAAATATCACCAATGCAACAAATACTGAAAATGTCTTTATTTTGGGGGGCGTTTTTTACTGTTTGCTGCGGCCAAAAGTTGGTTACCAATTTGTCAAAGTGGTTGCCAATGACAACCTAGAAACCGTTACTGTCAAGCCCTACCATAGTGGCATTGTCAGGATTATTTTTCCTTTCTATTTTATCATCCAAACTGTTCAAAATGACAATGTTCCTAAATGCCTCATTTAGAAAATTAGAAATCAGTAATCTGTAACTTTGCACATTTTTTTAAATGATGGTAAATGAAGTTGCTTCTTTATCCATCCACTTCCTGATTCTTTTAGAAGTGAGAGCAAAGTTAAAAAGTAAGCTGTGCAGATGGACACCGCTGGGACTGTGTAGAGGAGGCAGATAGAGTTATAAATCCTCCTGGTTTACCGATCTCTCTCCAGGAGTCTATAATCTGTCTGTAATCCTCAGATTACCAGTATGGTCCTATGTGCGGTCAGAGTGACTCGGGGCCAGGTGGCTCAGGGTTGACTGAGCGCTACCTGTGTGGGGTTAAGTGAAACACATATATCTTATATATCTTATATATATATCTTAACGTTGGTGGCGTTAATGTCGGTAGAGTCAGAAAAGTTGGTCTTTGATAGTATTGGATTGTCTTAGTGTTGTATTTTGTCAGTGAAACCCGTAAAAACAAACCTCCCTTTCATAGTTTCCAGTAAGAATATCAAGCAACATAATGTCATTTTTTTAGTGGAAAAGTGAACACAGTGATCTTTCAAAGCAGGGTGGAAACACAGAGGGAGCATTGAGCAGGCGATTTTTATCTGTAGTGAACTGATATGGTTTGTAATCATAAATGTCGCTGCTCTGCACTTTGACCTGAAGGCCCAGACGCAAATATTGTAACTGTGCTTTACAAACCTCTGTGTGTGTGTGTGTGTTCTCTCTAGCTAGTTAATATTTATACAGTTTCAGTGATTGGAAGAAAGCATGCAGGGAAAAGTCCATCTCTCCTTCTAACGCCCTGATGTTAAAGTTGGATACTTTTCTGTACCAATATTGTAGACATCATAAATGGCCATATCCACAAAGCCTGCGTCTTTGGCATTATCACTGTCATTATATAAATCCCCCCACTGCACAGAAGACTATGTTTAATGCTTATTATGGTAAGCATTCAACAACAGTGATTGCAGGGTGTTCCCAGGCCTTTACAGTGGGAATACTTATGCCTTATGTGTGTTCAAGGAACTCAAGGAAATCCACATGACAGTGACCCTGCTGATAGATATACCTCTGTTCTCATGCAGGTGCTCTTGAGGTGTCCAAAGTCAGCCCCTTAGCCTGCTGGTTCAGCTCCATGCTCTTCTGTTTCGGTGGAGCTGTGCTGTCTGCCGTCATGCTGGCCGAGCCACCTGTTGCACCTTTGTCCAACAGCACCAGTGTTCTGCTCGCTTCCATCGTCTGGTAAATGTCATGAGACTGAAATACACACATGGAGAATGGAAGCAGAAAGTTGCAGGGTTAATGAGAGGCGCTCTGTTACTTTGAAGAAAAGATTCTCTTGTGTAGAAACATATCAATTTGCTGTAGAGGGAGCATGAAATGTGGAAGGAACTAAATAAAACAGGTTATTGTCAAGTCCCCCTCTCCTAATATGAAGGCTTTGGCACCCTCTGCTGGTGACACATATAATCACACTCTCCTCTCAGAAATACATAGCGCCCTCTGCTGGTGAAGTCAGGTACATGACAGAGACTGTCAGGTCACTGTCAAAGTGTATAATGAACACATAGTTCACTCACAGCAGGTAGCTGAGATGTGTGTCGTGTGTGCACTCTTTATGTGAGCCATATGTGTCTCTACAGGTACCTAGTGTTTTACTGCCCCATGGACCTGGTGTACTGTTGTGCCGCCCTGCTGCCTCTCAGGCTGGTGCTGTCAGGGATGAAGGAAGTGACCAGGACGTGGAAGGTGCTCGGAGGGGTCACCCAGGCACAGAGCAAATACAAGGACGGTCTGCTGGTCATGATTGCCATCGGGTGGGCTAAAGGTCAGTAGCTGATGGTGCATGCTGAAGGATTTTTTTTTATACGTTTTGTAAAAGCTACGAAGTAACAATGAACTATATGTACTTTTCCTATCCCCGCTAGGTGCTGGAGGTGGTCTGATAAGTAATTTTGAGCAGTTAGTTCGAGGCGTATGGAGACCAGAGACTAATGAGCTCCTCAAGATGTCTTAGTAAGTCTTGACTATATTGTGATGTACTGAGTGTGATGTGAAATGTAAAGGAATAATGTAAGGGACATTTCACCACAAAATCAAAAATACATACTTTTCCTCTTACCTGTAGTGCTATTCATCAGTCTAGATTGTTTTGGTGTGAGTTGCTGAGTGTTGGAGATATCAGCCGTAGAGATGTCTGCTTTCTCTCAGATTTAATACAACTTGATGGCGCTCAGCTTGTGGTGCTCAAAGTGCCAAAAACTACATTTGAAAAACTCAACAGCAGTGTCTCTTTCCAGAAATCATGACCCAGTTTTTTTTTTCCACACTTTATTTATTGATTTTCCATTTTTGCAAACAGACATACATAAACATAAAACACCCCCACCCCCCCACCCTCGATAACATAAGATCCTTGGTACATAAAATGATATTCTTCATAATAGTAATAATAATAATAATAGTATGCTCACATACATTTCCATGAACCTCAATATGCACACATACATATATTCCTAAATCAATGTTTAAATCACAAGTCTATAGTTCGGTCATTCTCCTTTTCTCTTTCCCTACTTCACAACAATAAATCTATAGCTGTGCAACAAGTTATTGTGATGGCAGTGGCATCAGTCCTTGTCCAACTCTGGGCATTTGCACATTTAGATCGTTCATAAAGATTAAGAAAGAAGACCACATTTTGTAAAAATCCTTAATTTTCCCTCTTGCCATGTAAGTCAGTTTTTCCAGTGCCAAGTTTGATGACATCTCTGTAATCCATTGAGTAGAGGTGGGTCTCTGTGTCTCCTTCCATTTTAAATCAATCATACGTTTGGCTTGTAACAAACAGAAATTAAGTAACTTACGTTCCTTTACAGCTGCTGGGAAATCCTCAGGGTATACAGTACAGGCCAAAAGTTTGGACACACCTTCTCATTCAATGCGTTTTCTTTATTTTCATGACTATTTACATTGTAGATTCTCACTGAAGGCATCAAAACTATGAATGAACACATGTGGAGTTATGTACTTAACAAAAAAAGGTGAAATAACTGAAAACATGTTTTATATTCTAGTTTCTTCAAAATAGCCACCCTTTGCTCTGATTACTGCTTTGCACACTCTTGGCATTCTCTCCATGAGCTTCAAGAGGTAGTCACCTGAAATGGTTTCCACTTCACAGGTGTGCCTTATCAGGGTTAATTAGTGGAATTTTTTGCTTTATCAATGGGGTTGGGACCATCAGTTGTGTTGTGCAGAAGTCAGGTTAATACACAGCCGACAGCCCTATTGGACAACTGTTAAAATTCATATTATGGCAAGAACCAATCAGCTAACTAAAGAAAAACGAGTGGCCATCATTACTTTAAGAAATGAAGGTCAGTCAGTCCGGAAAATTGCAAAAACTTTAAATGTGTCCCCAAGTGGAGTCGCAAAAACCATCAAGCACTACAACGAAACTGGCACACATGAGGACCGACCCAGGAAAGGAAGACCAAGAGTCACCTCTGCTTCTGAGGATAAGTTCATCCGAGTCACCAGCCTCACAAATCACAAGTTAACAGCAGCTCAGATCAGAGACCAGATGAATGCCACACAGAGTTCTAGCAGCAGACCCATCTCTAGAACAACTGTTAAGAGGAGACTGCGCGAATCAGGCCTTCATGGTCAAATAGCTGCTAGGAAACCACTACTAAGGAGAGGCAACAAGCAGAAGAGATTTGTTTGGGCCAAGAAACACAAGGAATGGACATTAGACCAGTGGAAATCTGTGCTTTGGTCTGATGAGTCCAAATTTGAGATCTTTGGTTCCAACTGTCGTGTCTTTGTGAGACGCAGAAAAGGTGAACGAATGGATTCCACATGCCTGGTTCCCACTGTGAAGCATGGAGGAGGAGGTGTGATGGTGTGGGGGTGTTTTGCTGGTGACACTGTTGGGGATTTATTCAAAATTGAAGGCACACTGAACCAGCATGGCTACCACAGCATCCTGCAGCGACATGCCATCCCATCCGGTTTGCGTTTAGTTGGACGATCATTTATTTTTCAACAGGACAATGACCCCAAACACACCTCCAGGCTGTGTAAGGGCTATTTGACCAAGAAGGAGAGTGATGGAGTGCTGCGGCAGATGACCTGGCCTCCACAGTCACCAGACCTGAACCCAATCCAGATGGTTTGGGGTGAGCTGGACCGCAGAGTGAAGGCAAAGGGGCCAACAAGTGCTAAACACCTCTGGGAACTCCTTCAAGACTGTTGGAAAACCATTTCAGGTGACTACCTTTTGAAGCTCATGGAGAGAATGCCAAGAGTGTGCAAAGCAGTAATCAGAGCAAAGGGTGGCTATTTTGAAGAAACTAGAATATAAAACATGTTTTCAGTTATTTCACCTTTTTTTGTTAAGTACATAACTCCACATGTGTTCATTCATAGTTTTGATGCCTTCAGTGAGAATCTACAATGTAAATAAGTCATGAAAATAAAGAAAACGCATTGAATGAGAAGGTGTGTCCAAACTTTTGGCCTGTCCTGTATGTGCAACGAACATATCTTGGCTTCAATAGGAATAACACTTCCTGTCAGCTTGGAGATTAGTTCAAGAACCTCTCTCCAGAATATCTGCACCTTTCAACAGCTCCACATACAATGTAGCAGGGTACCAACTTCTTCAGTACATTTGATGCAACAGTCGGGAATATTGGGATTAAAATGGTGTAGTTTGACAGGTGTGATATAGGTCCTGAGCAACCACTTATACTGTAACAGTTTGCATCTTGTGTTAATAGTTTGAGTTTGGGCCAGAAGACAAGTCTCCTCCCAGTCCTCTACAGAGAAGTCTATCTGAAGATCATTTTAATCATGACCCAGTTACTCAAGATAATCCACAGACCTTGATGTGAGCATTTTCATGTAGGAACTATTTTCTTTCTACTGAACCACGCCTGCCAGCTGTATCACTGTGCAGAATGAAGTGTGCATCTGTTGCTAGCTCACCTAGCAACACTGAGCTAGCTAACATGCTACATGCTACTACTAACATGTCTGCAGGTCCTTGTCTTAAATTCAGTTTTGTGACAATAAGGCCTTAAAAGTCATTAAATAGTCTTAAATTTGAATTTGTGAGCTAGTTTAACTGCTACAAACATTTTATCTAATTTCATTTATGCGTCTTTTAATTTCTTTTTGTAAAAATGAGTAAAGCTTTTCTATGTAAAAGTCCAAATTTCTAATGTTACAAATCTTAAAAAAAACAAACTATAATACCGTCATTTTACATCATACTTGCACTTACCTGTTTGCAAAATGTACATCAACTTAACTCACTCTAATAACCATATGCCTACATAACGTTTAAATGAGTAAAACATGATTTGTCGAAAAATCAGTTCTTAATTTGGTTAGAAGGTGTCTTGAAAGGGTTTTAAAAAGCATTAAATCTAACTGTCTTATTCCTTTAAACACCCTGGAGCACCACAGGCTGAGTGCCATTTAGTTTGATTATATTTAAGAGGAGGTAGGCATCTCTATGGCTGATATCTCCAACACTCGACAACTCATACCAAAACAATCTAGACTGATAAACAGCACTACAGGTAAGAGGAAATATATGCGTTTTTGATTTTGGGCAAACTGTCCCTTTAACATATTAAGAAGTGTGCTCATTTGCGTCATGACTTCATGTTGCTGTTACAGCTGGTTTTGTGCCGGACCGTTTCTTGGCCAGGCGCAGTCACACTTTTGGCTGGTTGCCTGACAGAAATAGTCCGACCGGAATATACCCAACCGTAACAGCCTAACATAAAACCAGTTTGAGTTATTTATTCAAGCGGATGCCAAGTACATCCACAGTGATGATGTGTATCTTCAGTTTAGTTCAGTTGTGCATAATAATTCAAGCATAAAAGATGTTTGAAGACGTTTTAATATTTGTTTATTACAGATTGTGTCATAACTGCTCTCTCATTGAATGTCTGTTTAGCCCCACCAAGATCACCCTGATAGGCGCGGTGCTGTTTGCTCTGCAGCAGACCCACTACCTGCCTCTCCAGAGGCACCACTTGATGCTCATCTACACCGTATTCATAGTCGTCAACAAGGTCAGTGTGGTGTAATTTGTGTAGCTCATACCTGACACTGTGACCATGAGAATATACGCCAAACAGGATGGTGTGTTTTGGTTCATTTGCTTCCCCACGGCAGAGAAAACAATTTAATACCTTTCTTTGTTTATTAATTAGATATTAACTCAGGTAAAACAAATGTTTTGTCGCCGTAGCTCCCTCCAGATCTGTGGCGTCTTGTCTTCTAAATGACCTTTCTCTTTCTGCTTTTTTTTTTTTTTTAAGTTTTAGCTGCGGTGACTCACATTAGCTCGGTATTACCCGTAGGGCATGGGCTTTTGCATCATTTTCATCAGCTTGCATCATCCTCTCTTCTCTGGGAAACTTGTGCTCTTGACTGAGACACAGATAAATCTACCATGTCTTCTTTCAACTCTCATTCTGTTAGCTCCCTCCGTCTCTGATCTGTCAAATTAGCACCGAGCCATTTCATCAGATTTAAAGACTTGGTCTAAACCTGCTATTTATTATTTTGTGTTCTTGATGATGCAGATGTTATACTCTCATCCCCCTAATGAGAAGTAAATACAAACATGTTACCCACTTACTTAGTGTGTTAATATGGTGGCCATGGTGGCAATCCAGTTTCCCCTTGGGGATTATTAAAGTTAATCCAATCCAATCTGTAAAATAGGTCAACAGCACATTGGCTATCCATGAAAAAATGACAAATTACATGGTCGGCTGTTACTTCTCCGTAGGTTCATTATCACAGGCAAGTCCCTTCACATACAAGTAGTCATGGGATCCACTGCTAAAGTAAATGTATTGATGATAGCTGCCTTTAAAGAGAGCTGCTGTGATGAAGGACAGTCCACAGTTTGGAAATCATTAGACATCTATTCCAAACCTACTAAAGGTCCCATATTATGCTAATTTTCAGGTTCATATTTGTATTTTGGGTTTCTACCAGAACAGGTTGACGTGCTTTAAGATTCAAAAGGCACATTACTTTTCTCACATTGTCAGCATGAATATACATGTATCCATCTCTGTCTGAAACGTTCCTATTTAACATCTGTCTATGTAGCCCTCCTCAAAAAGCCCGGCCTACTCTGATTGGTCGGTGTTTCCAGGTCTTCCCAATCTGTGCTTTAAGCATCTGCATCATAATTGCACCTGGGGGAAATGACTGTTACGTTACTGTAGCAGCAGTTTCTACCTTTTAAGCACAGTGCAGACCAAAGATTTGCGACAAGGCGAGTTGGCAACTACTTGCAATGTGCCGTTCTGCAACGTTCTAAAAAACCTGCCGGTTCACACCAATGCAACTAGATGAGATGGTGTATCATCTCTATGCAACAACTGATTTGCAGCTTTTCAGGTTTATTTTGTGGCTGAATATAATTTGTAGCCTGCTCTACCCGCTAAGTCACCGCCGCCTCACCACCATCAGCCAGCTTGATTTGAGCTCAGACAGACCAGGTCACATCGCTGCAACTTTTCTCTGTAAGGTTCTAGAACGGTTTTGTCTCATCGCAAATCTTTGGTCTGAACTGGGCTTGATATAGTTGTGACATCACACCTTCACAGAAGCCCTGACAGCTCGTTTCTGAATACTCACTTCTTGCATTTCTCTGTGGATTGAGCGTTTTGATACTTTCACAGTATTTCTAAAGTACCTACACCTGCTGTATTAAAAATAAAAATAAATTGTCGAAATTAAAATTGTAATTAAAAAAGATATGGAAATCTGCCTTTTTACAATATGGGACCTTTAAGACATTTTGTTTCTGTCTTGACATATTTATCTCTTATTTCTTCAGTCAAGGATGATGCTGACAGGCTCCTCTGCCTTACCATTCGCTAACATCGAGTCGGCCATCTACAAGACCCTCTTCACCGGCCACTCCTCTTACGCCGCCCTCACTGACGAGGTAAAGAAAGCGTGTATCGATAACTCCGCAACCAACGGGTCGACCTCCACCACCACAACCAAAGAGTCCAGCGAGAAAGGGGCCGCAGGGAAGCACACCCCGGTTTCTCCTGTCAAGGGACAAAGTGGGTCGCTCAAAGCCAAAGAGGAGTCAGAGAACGCAGAGACAACAAACCGCAAGAAGACCAACTAGTCAGCCTCTGCCCCGTAGCGCCTTTTCACCTCTAAGCAGGGTTGTGGAGTCATTTCTGATTCAGATTCGTCACGTCAGGACTGAAACTTTATGAGTTGTTTTTCTTTTATCAAAAAATATGCTTTTTTTCCCTGCCACCTAAAAACCATTTTTCTTTTTCATTTCTGAGAATGCAATTTAAATCTGAGTGCTGAAACAGAATTTCAATAAGAGCTGACTCCAACCAACCCTGCACCTTATTGAGGGATAATCACCCCGTCCTTAAAGTACTGTGATATTTATGCTGTTGGATGTGAACATCGTACTATCCTCTTTCTGATTGCACACTTGCAGTACAATGTGTAGCTTAATTTTTAATATATATTTATAATGAGTACAAGCTGTTGAGGATTTTATTTCTGGGTTTCGGGAACAGTGCTGTGCACCTGCTGATCTATGAATGTCTATGTATCTTTTGCTGCTTCGTGTAAATGCTATATTTCCTACTCTGAAATGCTTTAAAACATTTTTTTAAAAGAGATTATATTCTATGACACTCAGATATTTTATTCTATTTATACTGAATAATTGCACACTTGAAAAAATTACATTTAAATTTTTTTATTGTGTCTGTTTTGTTAGTGAATGCTTTGAACCACACTCAAAAGCATGAGAATAAACAGTCATAAATGCTCTGTAAAATGTGTTTTGATGATTTCTATTGTGGAGGCAGCACCGTATTACCTCACTTTAAAGGGATAGTTGGGTTTTTTTTAAGTGGGGCTTTATGAGGTCAACGTCTTCTCACAGAACGGTTTGTAAGTTAACATGCGCAACAGTTCATGTCATATCCTATGAATTAGTGTCCCACAAATGATATCCTCAACGTACAGTGATGTAATTGATGTAAACTTACATAGGTTAGGTTTAGGAAAAAAAACATGACATGACTCAAAGTTCACACTGTTCCGAACACGCAACTCCAGGGGAAAGTCCCAGGGAAGGTCTGGGTTTTTGTGACCCATCCACCACCCTAACCTGCCTCTTTGTTTACACCTGTCAGTGCACTGGTCACGTGATTGCAGCCTGTCAAAATACATAGGATATGTGCGAATTGGGGTGCATTACATTTTCATGGAGAAGCAGGCAGGAGTACGACCAGGGAAGCTGAGCAATGTACTGCTGTTGATGGGGGTTTGCAGGGAAACATGTTTTAGCTACTTAGAAAAGCCTAAATTAAAAAAAAATCATCATCAGTGTAAATGGACGCTATATAGAGTATTTTCACCGCTTTACCTTGCCGTCAGACAGCCCTTTCCTTTGACGCTACATATTCTGAGCCATAGAACTTCCATATTCTTCCACAAAAGCCGAACTAGGCTGTGCGCTGTATTATGCTGCAAGTCAGCTGTCAGGGTCAGAGAGTGTTGTTATGTGATCAAACTGAAACGAATCTTCTCTTTTCTGAGGATTTCAAAGATGGTGCGTGCTTGTGTTTTTCCGGGCTGTTCAAACAAATAAAGCAATGAAAACAGCAGGTGCGAGTTACACTGAATATAGACATCAACACTCCACCCGCAAGACTGAGACAACTCGGTATTGGGAGTAAACATCTCCCTCAAGAGGATTATGTAAAACCACTAGCAAATAATCCAGAGAGACACTTGCTGAAGCACTGCTGTACCCAACCATCAGCTTAAATAACTTACTACCTCCAAATAAATGAAACAACCAGTAAAGTGTGAAGCGCTGGCATCTTCAGATTCAGAAAGATCCTGAAGTTGTGTTGTAACCAAGTCCCATTCATGGCAGCAGTAGCTCTCTGGGTCCGTGTCTTTTTCAGCCTCCCTCCGCAAATTTTTGTATAGGCTACTGTAACCTGGATGTCTAAGGTATCCTTTTGTCTCCACAGTGAACGGCATCATTGTCACTGTCATAATCACTCAGTCTTTTGGTTTTCTTGTATTTGTTGTCTCCTCCATAAACTGCTGAAAGTCTGACCCAAACAGCTGACCTGAGGCGCAATCTACCACACAGCAGCACTTATGTGTGAGAATATGGAAGTTCTACATTTGAGAAAATGTAGTGCCAGAGGAGCAGTCTGTCTGACGGCAAGGTAAAGTGGTGAAAATATTCTTAATATGGCATCCACTTAGACTGATATTCAATTTTTTGTTAGGCCTTTTTTTTCTTCAGATGGCTAAAATATGTTTTGTTGCCGACCCCCATCTACAGCTGTACAAAGCTTATCTTCAGTGGTGGTACTCCCATACTCCTCTCCAAACTGGGAGCATGCCAACTGACATCTACTGTATGTAATACACTAACTATGGATGAGTACCTTATACAGCTCTACTTCAGAATATCCGAACTATCCCTTCAAAGCATCAAACAAATCATTAGTCACATTTTATAATGTGTGCGTCCCCAAAAGGAAGCTCCTAATTAATACAGAATCAAACATCATGTAGCTGTCGTAGCACATTTGCTCACTGTATCATTTGTCAAATGGTAACTGATATCTAAATTAGCTGCTGGGTAGTTGATATAAGGCAGCAAAGCGACCAGGAGTAACCTCTATAGGCTGAAACATTGCATCAGTGTAACATCAGCACCTGATTGATACCTCAGCCTCTTTAAAAAGCTGCTGGAGAGAGATCCCCCAAATCCCCCCCAATTCTCATCTATGTAACCTCAGACGGCGAAGAACCCCCCAGTGAATACAAATTAAGAACAGAGGGAGGGGGGTGGGGGGTGTTCAAGAGAAGAGAGAAGACGTTCAAAGACGATCAAAAGCGATAGCAGCTGAGATGATGTACCTGCCTTTCATACGCCTCGAGTCCACAGACGTCAGATGTATGCATGTCAGTTACAGGCTTGTATCTCAAAGTGTTTGCTGCAAAACTGCCTTCTGTTAGCGTGCGTGTTGATCTCCCTGACTCTAATGGTGAACTGTGTGACCTGGAAAAGTGAAAGACACGTTAATAAGCCGCTGTTTTCCTTACGCTGCCTCCCGTGACAAGAAGGCAGGTGACATGACGACAGCTCAGAGCCTGAAAGTTCCCAGACAATTCTCTTAATGAGGTCCAGACCTGTGTGACCCTCACCACAATTACTCACTGAACTGAGCAGCCCCCCCTCCGCCGAGCCCCTGCGCCTTTCGCCTGCGCTTCACCTGCTCTACAGCACATCTCCTCACCCGCTTTCTTATCCCTAGACTTCTGCTTGTTTTCCAGTTTTCAGGTGCAGAAAATTAATCCTTAAAATAAACTGGTTCACACACTTGACTTTGAACCCACAGTGGCATCTGAGTCGAGGTCATGGATATAGCAAGGATGTGGCGTACTGTGGCTCAGAAATATCACATTTTCCTCATTTCAAACCACAGCACACACACTATCATACAACATATGCATTTAGACACAATGCAAGGATAGAGAATGCACACACACAACTTTGAACCCACAGTCTAAGGAGAGGTCAGGGACATACCAAGACCATGGCATACTACTCACAAACAAACCCACACCACACACGCACACACACACACACACACACACACACACACACACACACACACACTGGCACACAGTAGAAAGAAAGACAGCTTGGCTAAATACTGGAAGGCCATCAGGGTACGTCTGACACAGACAGCTTGAGTCTCTGACCTTGTTGTTGCTTTTCATTTTGTCTCACACCATTTTAATTACGGATAAATCTAGAGATATTCTGTATTTTTTCTCATGTCAACAAATCCAATGGAAAGAGCAAAACCATCAGTGAATGAATCCCACTTACAGGATCCTTCATTACTGTTGAAATGGCGCTGTAGTTCATTTTGATATAAACCATCCTGCTGCCATAAATTCACACCAGTGAATCTGCACCCAATGATGCGCCATTTACTTGGTTTGAGTAACTGGTGTCAGAAACTACAGCGCTCAGTCATTTCAGCAAATCACATCCTATAAAGTGGAAATCGACAAGTTTTTTTGCTTCAACTTAGGATGGAGTGAATGTTGATAGCAAATTGTAAGATTTGTTCTCTATAAGCCTCATTTTCGCTATGCATTTCACTATGCTGTTTGACAACGGGAACAATCTCCCAGGAAAATAAAGGCTAAATAAACAGCACAAAAGAAAGAGTTCACTCTAAAACATGATTCATGGGGCTAGTGGATAATGCTTAAAATATGGAACTTTTTCAGCATTAAAAAAATTACGTTTGATACATGAACGTTATTTAGTCAGTTGACAACTTATTTTAAGAAGTTGGTCAAAATCAGAAACATTTTTGAGTTGGATGGAATTAAAATAAACAAGTTGGAATATCTTAAATAAAATAGTTTGACCACTAAATATAAAAACAACATCTGGATAATTATTAAGTTGATCCAACGTAATTAAGCTTTTCGAGGTCAAAGTAAATCATGTTGGTTGTACTAAACTAACTGAGGTTCTCAGATTATATAAGACTCATTGGATTGGCTCAATAATGTTGAGTTGGAACTACTTAAAAAGATGCATGCAAATTGTTGACTTAATTTTTTAAAGTTGAACCAATGGATTCTTTTTTGTATTTCTTCTTTTGTGTACTGATGTATGTTGATGTATGTATGTAACATTGTTTGCTTCATTCCGATAGTAATGTTCTTTTTCTGACGTGTCACCAGGTGATGTCATTGGAGCTGCTGCGTTATCAAGCCACCAATGTGAGGCTTCATTTCAGTTTTGTTTGTTGGGGATCATATTAAGACAACTGCGTTCTTTCTCTCTCGTTTTTCACAATTCACCTATACTAACTGTGTTCATTGCTTTCCATGAAGGCTTAAGTGTGTTGGTATTTGTAATTGTAACCCAGATAATAGTATGAATATTTGCTAGGCTCTCAGGAAAACACAAAGCGATCCAGTTGTCTTTGCGACAGTGGCGCCAACAATTAAACCACTTGGAAACACTGAGGGGGAATTTGAATATATATATTTATTAAACTCTATATTTGCAACCCATTTTTACAGATTTATGTCCCCAACAGGAGCCACAGAGGAGTTTCAGACAAGTATAGAGGTGGCTTGTCTTTTCATAGAATTTGTTGACCCTCAAAAAATTACAACATCCCCAGCCTTCTTTAATTCTTAATTTTAATTTGCTTTCATTTTTTAGTATGCTCATTCATTAACTCATTTTCACCTTTAAATAAACTCGCATTTGTGATTATATTTCTTTGATTATGTATGTATGCATACTATTATGCATCTCTGAATCTATATTTATTTGTAGCAACATTACTTGAAATAAGGGGTAGGTCAAGATAAGTGCACCACTTCTACCTACTCCTTTTCGAACGCTAAATATTTACCTCTGTTACTATGATTGTTTTTTTTTGTTTGTTTGTTTTTTGTTTTTCTTGTATGACTGATTACCTTATTGATCACCTACATTTTGTTCTATTTTATCTATGTTTGAAATAAAGATTAAAAAAAAAAAAAAAAAAGAATTCATTTGCCCCCAGAACTCTAGGTCAAAATAATAATTGTAGCTCTTTTTGGATGGAAACACTCATGACTTCGAAGCGGCACATCTTGTCTTTATCTGTCAATAAATAGAGATGGATTTACCAAAAATGTCACACAAAGTAATAAAGGTACCATGGTGCAACCAACATGAAGCTGTAACAGTATGGCTTTATTACACAGTCTAAT